ACGAGATATTACAAGAGTAATAACGATTATGAAAGTAATCATTCGTGTGAGAGATAAAGGTATAAAGTATGATGTGCATTGGAATGAAACAAACCAATTAATTGACCCTAACGGTGCGATGTTGACAAGTTACATTAGGACACTTGTTCGTTCGCAATTCCAATCACTTAAGATAATTGGAAAATTCCTTCGTTGAAACCGGCTAAAGAAAAAATATGGAGCGAGATACAGGAATGATATCTGACTTTTTAATTATGTCGACGGTTATGTCTTTAAATTACTTATACTAACATATTATATGTATGTTAATTTGTTTGCAGAGGTCTTTTAATATTGATGACGATCGGAAAAAATATTGTCTTCAATTGGCCGGAAAACGACTAATTGGATTTCGAGTGTTTTTAACGAACAAGATTCTTAAGGATTCTGATGGAAAATTTGTTGAATCAGAGCTTCCAAAGATGCTGATCTGATTTCACTTGAAGAATGGGAAACATTTGTTGCCAAGTGAAGAACCCAAGAATTCCATGTAATTCTAACTTATCATGAACAACGTATAATATATATACTTCTTCCACATGAGTTTTGATATGATTTAAACTTGTTTTTTTCATGCTGTGAGTGACATAAATCGGCACAAGCATCAAAACCCGCATATCCATACAAAAAAGGGCGTTTGGGATATGCACGCTTACAACAAAAAATAGTAAGTATATATAAATGCTTTAATATGATATAGTTAGAATACGAGAAAAATGAAGCTTATTATCTATCTTAATGTGTAGTTAGAAGAGGAAAAAATTGATACAACATCTCTTCCGGACCATATTTTGTGGAAGGGTGCCTGTGTGGGTAGAGATGGAGTCGTTCAGGAAGAAGTTCAACAAGTATTTGATCAATGTGTAAGTACAACATTAGTTCTGTCATAAACTCAAAAGTGTATAATATATTTATGCTTTTATCTATATTTCAAGTGAGTATATCCCAGACTATAACTGCAGCTGAGGATGATGATTGCAGGAGCGTACTAAGTCGAGTATTAAATGTTCCTGAGTATTCTGGTCGTGCGAGGGGTAAGGGATTTGGTGTCACTCCAACAAAATTGTATAAGCAGTCAAAGAATAAAAATTCGTAGCAATAAACAAGTGATGGAGTCGTTGGAAGAATTGAAAGCTCAAATTCGTGAATTGCAAAAGGACAAAGAGAGATACATGTCAGAAAGGCGCGGTGTCGAGTTTAAAGATACTAGTGACAAAGATAGTATCAATTGTAATTTTCAGCAGAAACTTCCCGAGGTAACTATATATATTACATTGAAATGATTTAGCACACTTTCTTAATTGACACATTAATCATATTCATTATTGGTTTAGGGCATTTCACCTTGTCGACTCTATTTATCGTCACCGACTTATCGCATGGTTGGCAAGGGAAAAGTGCATAACACTTTAGGAGACTTACTTCACCATAAATCGCTCCCTGCTGGATTTTTGAAAGTATCGATTGATATTGCTTTAGAGGGGGTGCGTTATTACCTATATCAGACGATGTTTCAGATGCAACATTGGTGGGAGACGCAATAGGATCGCATGTTGCATGGGCGTCAAATCTCATTTTCATATATGATGAGGTAGGTTGAACACCATTATAAACCTTGTAGTATTCAAATGTTTTACAACCCATACATGTAAGTTATTCTTACATTTACGTACCATTTGTTTACATGATGATCTTAGACTCCTACAAAATCCAAATCAAAAGATAAGGGGATTGTGCGGGAAACTATGTCAGTTGCATCAAAAAAATAGGTACTACTATATGAATTGATATATATGCATAGAAAATGTCAATTATATCCTCTGATTTAAATAGCTTTATGATCTTATACATTAATTACCTAACTTATATGACTTTTAGGTTCATGCTCAAGAGTTGCAACAAGTCAGCAAGGGTAAGATGCCTGAATCTAGCAAGGTGTCCAACAAAAAAAAAAACTGATCCAAAAAAAGCAACTATTCCTCGATTTAGATTATGCCTTGAAACATATGTAAGAACAACATATATGGTGGAAGGTGACATTCGTTAAAAACCTATGAATGAAGGTATTTCCGGTTTTGCTTATGCCAAAACAATTGCTAAAGAGGATTTGGATCAGATTTTCCAACATTTTGAATTAGGCATCGGTGTATGCATTCATACATCAGGTAGTCCGATCAATTTTAATTAAATAATTGAACAGTTTATTTTCTCATTTCAATGAATATTCAAATGTTGATTATGTTTTTATTTAAGGTTCTTGTATGACAAGTTGCTGGTCCCGCATCAATTGACAAAGAGATTCACATTCTTTATCTTCTAGTTGTATCAATGGATGATCAATTGATCACACTTTAGATGTAGTCAGAGATTACTTAGTCCAAGCATTTATGGCCACAAATACAGAGAAGTTGTATTTTTTGCCATATAATATTGGCCATGGATTAGATTTCATTCTAAATTCATTTATTATAATTATTCGTTTTTTGACATTCTATATAATATTTCCGTCTAAACTTTTGTCTTATTTTACAGTGGACACTGGTTGTTGGTTCTGATTAATCCGATGAAAGAAATAGTGTATTATCTGAATTCATTGGATGGTTATCAAACAAAATATCGTAATATGAAGTATATGGTTGATATGTAAGTGATTGGATATATTGTTCTGAATAATTATCTTTATTTATTATGTGATATTGTTCTAAATATTCGTTTATATTATGTTAGAGCTATACAAATATTCCAATCACAAAGACAAGCATTAGTACCAAAAAATAAGGCTAACAACATTAGTTGGATCAGAGTGCAGGTATATTTTCACAATTTTGACTGTTATAGTGATTCTACTTGATAAAACTAGTTAAACTATATATCATGATATATATTCATTTGTTTTTTCAATTTACAGCGTCCTCGTCAGCGCAATGGGATTGATTGCGGATGGAATGTATTGAGGTTTATGAAGGAATTATTCATTCAGGTCAAATAGAGATTCCAAACACTACTAGAAATGTTGTATTTAGCCTCGGCCATTTTCCGACACTATAAGGCAAAAAATCGCCGCTAGTAGCCAATTAGCCTCGGCGTAGCGTCGGTGTCGGGGATAGGCTAAAACGATTGAAGCTAACATTTAGCTTCGGCCAAAAAGAGCCGTGTCTACAGTAGCCTCAGTCTAACCGTGTCTACTTTAGCCTCGGTTTAGCCGTGTCTACATTAGCCTCAGTGAAGCCATGTCAAAAAACAAAAAATAGCCTGGGCCTAACCGAGGCTAAAGTCAAACTCCATAAGCTCACATAATATTTAGTCTTGGTCCTGGTCGAGGCTAAAGGAACATTTTGCCTCGACTTTTTCGAGGCTATGTTCAAACTTTATAAGTCAATAAAATATTTAACTTTGGCTTAACCGAGACTAAAGTCAAATTGTAAAAGTCAACAAAATTATGCCAGCTTTCCAATTGTATAATCTATATATGCTAAAGAAAATGGCGATGAAAAGTACAGTCAACAAAAACAAAGGCATTCAGACATTATTTAGTGACCAAATGTCATGGCAGTACACTACTATCATTTTGCATTAAAACTTAACCAAAACCCAAATCATCGCCCACCGATGAGGTAAAAGGAAATCATATTTATTCAGAGTACTAAACACAAGTTCAAAGCATTGGTTACAAAATACAGAATCATAACTCAAAACATAAATTTTCGAAGCTGCTTCCAAAGCAAAGCTATCACGAATTATTATGATTAGTTAGCAAATTATTATCTCAATCTCTTTTTCCTTGCACTGTAAAAGGCTTTTGGAGGCTTGAGAAGAGTACTGTATAAGATGGATTTTATTGAAATCCATTCTGAACTGCTAGTAAGGGAATGTGACATTTATAAATGATAGCTGATAGAACATGATTGCTTCTGGCATAACATGGCTTTAAATAATAACAGTGTAAGTTGTTGTGTATAGGAGTCCAGGTCAGAGCCGAATTACAACTCCTAGAAAGGAGACTGATACATGTAAAATATTTTCAGGAGTTTCAGATGGTCAATATTTCTTCCTACTACTATTAACTGGGAAGTTACATGTTTCTTGACAAAAGGTCTTAAATATAATCTATTAATTGCAGGAGTTACAACAGGAACTCCAATTCATGTATTTGTGCCCAATACTGATCAAAGAGGAAACGTGAGTATAGTTTTGTGTTCAGAGATATTCAATATAGATAAGCAACCATGACCTTGATTTACGGGGCTGTTAAAAATTTGTACGTTTGGTGACATTTTTCAGGACTATAGTGAGATGTCATTAGCTTATAGGCCTTCCCATGCAGATGCAACCTATGACATGAAGTATGGTGTCAGATCAGTTCAGGTATTGACCTTTACAATGTAAAAAGTTAGGCATTTTCATTCGATGAGATATGTATTAAGCTCATATGTCTTAACTCCTATATTTAGGGTGGTGGTAGATCTTTTGCTAGAGAAACCATTTGAAGGGTTGCTTCTGGTGCTGTTGCTAAGAAAATCCTTAAAACATTTGCTGGAACTGAGGTGTGTTACTTGTCTCACAAGTTTAGCTATACCTGTGTTATATTTCTTCAGTTTTATAATAGACCAAAAATGATACATGATATTAGGAATGTGTCGGGATTTTTTGATCCTCCAATAGAAAATTGGTATTGGGAATTCTCCCTTGATTAAAGAACAATACAGAACTTTTAGGGTCTGCAACCTCCTTGCCCAAAGTCTCATATTTCCTAATAATTGACTACATGCCACTCCATCTCGACCTATCTCTTATTGATGGGCAAAATGCCTCAATTTTACAGCTAACTCAATCCAACTAAACCAATTAACTATCACGGATTATTATGATAGCAGAAAAAACGATTTGACACGAGTAAAAATTTTAGGGATTAAACAAAGTTATCACGGATTATTATGATTAATGGACAGTGTAAACAAAATTCACACTGCATAGCGATGTAAGCATACCTCTTGTGCCTGAGCAGGAGTTGCAACCTTTCCTGTTCCAATGGCCCAAACTGGCTCATTGGCCAAAACAACATTATCCCAGTTTGATACTTTCTCTGCAATTAGAATTGAAGATAGCAACAATGTTATTGCCAGCAAATTAGTATGTGACAATAAATCAATTAATGTAAATCTGTAGATGCAATTGGAGAAGTATTTTTAGCGAGAATTCTGTCTCACGTAAAGAAACAAGTTTGAAAAAGAGAGGTTGTGAACATAAGAGTACCTGCAATTGCCTTTGTTTGCTCAGAAACAACAGCAACAGTAGTACCAGCTTCCCGCTGCTCAAGAGTCTCCCCAATGCAAGCGATAACTTTCCTCCCTAGTGAGAGTGCATATGCAACTTTGTCTCCCACAAACTGTAGCAGAGAATAAATCAATAGAAAATCGGAAGTTTTGATAGTAGAATTTAATCTTCAGCAAATACAACTATGGAAAGTAGAAGTTATAACACAATTAGTACAATATAAGCTAAAGGAAACTAAAAGCTATGTACCTCATTTGTTTCATTTAGAAGTTTCCTTCGCTCAGAGTTATAACACATGTGAGCTGTAACACCCCATTTAAATTATTCAGTCGCTTTGGTATTTTCTGTGATGTGTAGTTGTGTGGTGTCGTTAATTAAGGGTATGAAGTTAGGAGTAGGGGAGAGAGGTGACCAGGTACCTGAGTAGTGCTTGGAGTGTGTTTCTATTTGATCGAGTCTTAGGAGTCGCTATGATACGTAACATGGGATGACGGGATTTCGTTGTTATTTGACTACTTTATTTGTTTATTGTTACGTATCTTCATTTATTGGACTTATGTTGTATGACCTCGTGTCGAGGAGAATTATATTGGAGAATTTATTTGTATTCCGCTGCTTACTTGAAAACTAAATAATATTGATTATTTTATTGAAATGAAGTGACTTAGTGTGATATCCCACTGTGTTGGAGAACTCTGATGAATTTCATGAATTGTTTCTATATATTTATTATATTACGCGTACGGGGTAAAGTGGGGTGCTACATGAGCAATCTCTGGTACAAGAGGGTCATCAGGATTTGGATCAGTCAGCAATGAGCAGATAGAAAGCAGTACTTGGTATGCCAAGCAAAGTATAATTATAATTATAGAACTTATTTTAAAATTTATCTTGATATATCGGTGCATAGAGGAATGAATTCCATGTTAAATAAATGATGGCGATCAATTGTATAAAGAAGTTTGGAGACTGATGGCAATGTTGGAATAAGAATAAGATTCTCAATTCTTTCACAATGTAGTAAGACAAAATAAAATTGCCAATAGAAGAAACACAATTCATGCAATACTATGCCATATTTGCATGCCTGCTCCAATAAATAATACTCCACACTTCCATGTAGCATCGGTCACAAAGAAATACAAAACCAGTCTACATAATTAGTTTGACACTTAGGCTGTAGATAGACCAACCAGCCACAGCTAAAAATCAGTCTTCTTGATATACAGGGGAATGAATGGAAATAGTGAAACCTTGTAAGCCATACCGGTGAAGGACACAATGGTAGAGGACTAAAGGCTGGGTAGAGCTGTGATTCCGTCTAATTTCCTAACATTGGGAGCAAGGGCGCAGAAGGGGAGGTGGCCAAGCGGTTACTGCCTAGAGAAACAAGAGGTGGAACACCACCATACATCTATTTTTAGGGATGTATGCGTTTTGGGTTTGAGAGGTGTTTGGAAGAGTTTTTATGAGCTTAACTTATTTAATTAATACTTAAGCATTTGAAAGAGCATCAAAAAATAGCTTATGGAATGCCCCAAGGATATCAATAGGTGCCAATAGCAGGGAGCAGGAGCTGGTGGCCACAAGTCTCCAGATGTGGAGTCGGATATTAGAGTTGTGAATATAGCAGCGACAAATCAAGACAAATAAAGGTCTCAATAGTGGCCAACTGGCAGTCGCTAACAAGGTTGTCAAGATCGAACGTGAGATTAAATAAAAGAAAAACTGAGATTAAATTATATGATTTTCTTCTTCAACCCCCAAAACATAGACTGAAGAAACTGAGATAATAAACTGCAGCCGAGAAACTATCCTACTCGATAAGCATACAAATTAAATCTGTTGAGCTAGTAAAAATGCAGAAAAAAACTGCAGTTTTCTAAGAAGAACAAGAAACTGGCACAAATTCAGAAAATATTGATCATCCAGAATAGCAGATTAAGAAAATAATGTGGAGGGAGACATTGAAATGAAAGACTAGAAGAAACAAAGAACACATACGTGCATTACAACAAGGCCAATTGTGACAGTCATTACAACAAACACCATACGTGCATCATTGAAATTCAATTTGAAAGGGAAATAGAGAATAGAGAATACAGTACCTTTTGTGTGAATGGCCATAAGGAAGGGAATTTAAAAGGAAAAGATGGTAAGGGGTTATTGTTTGAAGATTCCTAAGAAGAATGAAAAGCCTAACACGAATTTGGTTCGGAAACTGTTGAGGTTGCAGAATTGGAGAAAACCAAGACCAGCAGAAGCTGCATTGTTCCAAATTACCAAATATTGTTAAGTTCTTCTAATATAACCATAACAACATAAAGACTATTATCATTAGCATGCATGAATTAACTTACACACGTAGCCGAATAATACGCAATATAATGCTGCTATGACCGGGAAAGGAACAGACACGAAAATTGCTCCAAATTTTCCTGGTTCAAAAAGAAATAACATGAGATAATCAATACTGTGTCTACATAACAATGTTGGAGTCGTGTTCGGGGGAAAATAGTACCGAATATAGAGAAGAAAATCATAAAGCCAGACGATATTTGAATTACTCTTCTGCTTCCTACTTTTGTTAATGCTAGTAAACTAGCATTTTCCCTGAAACAAGAGTAAAGCATAATCGTAAAAATCGGCGAAAATGAACTAAGGAATGTTCTTTAAGTCATCAAGTTAACAAATCTATATCAAGCATTCAAGATAAACAAACACAAAAGAAATTAGGCTAAACTCACGCGGATGCAGAAGTTCCGGTTACATATCACAGTTTCATTTTATGTAAAAGAGAATTGAAAGATATTGAATCCTACCATCCAACCAGCACCGCGAATGACAATAGAAGGTGGCACCGGCGTGGCACTTCCATATCTTGCAGCAGCATAGGATGTATCAGGAAACTGTAAGTAAAACAAATTTCAAACCAGTGATTAACAGGAAAAATTGCAATGATGAGTGGCATGAGATTCTTATTACTTGTGTGCTAAGGAATTAGTGGATCCCTTAAAAAGAGAAACTATAGAAGCAACCATCATAGGAAATGCTTCCAGAACATTAAATGTAGGAGGCCCCCATTGAAAAGGGTAAGGAAGATACACCCTGCAACAATTTGCTTTGCCATGTTATGTAAATGATCAGAACTAATTGACGAAACCAGCCTGGAATTATTCTTACCATTTAGCGAAAGTAACGAGTCTAGCACGATCAGTGCGACAGCTATTCTGTGTGCTTGCTGACTTGTGGTTATATGTAGTGGAAGTAGTTAAAAGCTGTGTAGGCCTCATGGTGCTAATATACCGATGAAGATACTGCAGAAAGAAACAAAATTTCCATACCGAAAACTCAAACCGAAACCTCAAGAAAATTCTGGTACAAGATGAGATTCATGTTACAAAAAAATACACACTATAGATTCACATTGATTGAGTTCCATTATATATTGAATTGAGATACAACCCACATGTATCGTAACATACTTATACGAGATATATTTTATACATGCAAACATTTTCATTAATAAAGAAACTATGCCTGTTAAAAACATATTGTATCATTCTCAAACCAAAGAACCATAAAAGGTGTGAACTGGAAATTGTTAGCTACATACATGCGAATAAACTCGCACATCAATATTGTCATTTTCATTGTAACATCTTCAACATTGGTTAAAGCAATCTATTAATCTTTTGATACCATATAAATTACAGTAAAAACGTCGTATGAAGTGACTAACCACAAATAAGAACAAAAGCCTACCAATGTCTCTGTCGTTCTAGCAGCATTCCAAGCCATTGAATTTTCAGCCCCATGTTCAGCAAATCGAGATAATTGTGAACTACCAGATCTTGTTTCAACACTGCAAGGACGCAATGATGCCTGTGAAGTCTGATTTGATGCCCGTGGCCCAGATGCTGATGAAGGTCGGGAGCTTGACCCCCATACACTAGTAGTTAGTTCAGAAGCCCTATCACTACCCAGAAGTTGAAGGCCGTGTGCCACTTCCACCAGATGAAGGGAGGGTACTGAGATGACTGGGTGAACTAGGCCCAACATTGGCATTTGGAGACACAGAAGAACCCCATGCATTTGATGCAGAAGATGATGATTTACTGCCCCAGTCAAGGGTACCCCTAATAAATATAAGAAAACATAAGAACCAATTATCTAGTCTACAGGAATAAAAGCAGCTAAAAAATACATATTAGTCAAATTAACAAAATATTTACTCACTTCCGTACAATCTCCACATTTGGGTCCAAACCATGATTTTCTAACCTTAAAACAAAAGGAAATAACCAAGTTTAGATCATGGACCAACAACACTAGATAACTGTGAAGGCAAATAATCCAGCCAGAAATCAAATACCTCTGACTGGGTAAGTTTATAGGTTTTGGAACAAATAGAATAAAATCGTTCATGCCATTCCAATAGTAATTCAAATATTCTCAAAATTTCATAAGTGAAATCAACATTGAATCACAAAAATAATATCACAGTAATGCAAATCAATAAAATATGAGAACATTAAGACTCAATATACCATAACCGAAATGATAATTCCATAAACTCACATGTTCAAAAATACGTTCAATATACTTTCTTCTCTCTGATTGCCTCGCCGTAGTCTCTAACCAACACCGTCGCGCCGGAGTTTAGGCTCTGTTAAATCTCAGTTAGGGTTGGAATTCGAAATTCATGAGTTGAATGAAAAACATAACAAAATATTAACCTTAAAATGGAAAATAACACAAACAAATTGTTCTACCTTATCAGACTTAGGAATAAGTTTTCTGAGATTAGCAAGCTGAGTATTGATTCAATCTCTGCGTCTTTTCTCTGCTTGACTATGACTCTTGGAAGCACTTGCAGCTCTATCTTCTAAACTTCCTTCAACAGGTAAATGCCAAGACTGAAACTCACTACATTGAAAAGAAGCAGAAGAAGAATCAGAGATAGTTTGAGGTTGAATTTGAGCAGGAAAGTGTGAACGAAGAGAGGATCTTGAAAGAATAGATGATCTTGAATGAAGAGATGATTTTGAAGAAAAGAAGCAGAAGAAGAATCAGAGATAGTTTGAGGTTGATTTTAGGGGTTTTTTTTCTTCTGAAAATTTAATTTTAGGGTTCTTCATTCTGAAAGGAATTAAGAGGGAAACATGAAAAACAAGAGTGGGAAATAGTTAGCCTCGGCACATCTGTGTCTATCAGATAAAATAAATATATTCGGAAAAAATAAAAATAGTTAGCCTCAGTTAATCCGTGTCTAATATTTAAAAAAAATAATTAAA